TAGCCTGTCAAAGAAACCAATGGACTACTTCAAGATTCTCATTAAGAGTTATGATCCTAGCGCGGTTTTAGAACCACCATATTGTCTGTGTAATCTAGCCTGGCAACAATTTACTAGAGGCAGCACTAAGCACTCCAAATCTAAGGCCGATGCACCAGTTTATGTGAGAGATCCTTTACCAACGATAGAACAAAGAGCCTGGGATGCAAAGAAGTATGACACCATCACCAGAACAATCCAAACAGACACATTGGGCTCAAGTGCATTCAGATACAATTATCCATCTCGTATCATAGTTTTGGCTTAGGAAGATACTCTTGCGCTCGGTGGACATGTGATTTTTTCATAATTGCACTTTGATTAAGAAGCGGCATAAATTAAATAGTTCGGAATAATAATACTAGTGCAGCAAAACACTGATCGAATCGTAAATACATGCGTCTCAAGTGCCAATCTAGATATGTAAATAGCTTCATTAAAATTGATAGATTTTGGGCAATGCAGCTCTCCAGATCAGAAAAACGAATACCAGAAGCCCAGTAAGCAGGTTCCTTCCCAACTAAATGATGAAGTACAAAGTTGAGAAAAGCTGAGACATAGAACCGTAGTGAAGTACATAAAGAAAATATTTTTGGGCGACAAGGCAGGAAGCAGGTCTTCGAGACTACGAGTAGATCATAAATATAAGATCTATTAATCCTATTTCGGTTAAAATTTTAAGGAAATTGGTAGTTGAATTTTCTCGCAATCATGAGTAGACCCTACATTTCCATTGAATTTCACATAGCTTTGTTTTCAAAAAGAATTTTCAGCCAGATTGGATTTGGTTTTGACCTTGAATAGACCTCATCAGGACTTCCAGAGGGACTCAAACGCGCTATTTACTACGCGACTGCAACAAGTGACTTTGGTTAACAGGGCAGAAGTGAATTTCAGGGAATGCCAGATCGTTTTGTGGTGGGAGTGCTGATTAAACGAGTTACATTTGCTAGATATTACTTATTTTATATTTATATATAGATTTTCGAGACTACTAGTCGAATTTATATATGAGCTGTAGTCACTCCATTTACTTTTAGATGATGAAGGACTAGTAGCTGCATTTCCCAAAATGATATATACTCGTGCTCCCATCACAGGCAAATTTAGTGAGATTGAGTCAACCAAAAGATTAAATGATTCACATAAAAGATCTAAGCGACACCACAACCATGCTTCATTCTAATGTCAGCATAATCTTAGAATGTAGAAAAACTGGGGTTCGAAGAATCCCTTCCGCAATAATCGAAGGAGATTGTCTCGAAAACAGGGCAACACGACTGTTTCAGTCAAGCAAATCAACAACTGATCAAGCGGAATTTGCCATCGTCTTGAGGTGGGATCTACGTTCGAATCTTTTTACCAAATACGTTCACTCTAGATGGAGTTGAGCTTAACAATCCCAAAAACTGTCCTGTAACATACCTTTCTCGTGATTTCGTAGCAGATTTTCGCCTCCGACAACGTGTACCCGCCTAGAATGAAGACAATCAGCCTGGGCCCGCAGTGTGCCGACATGGGCGGCCCATCGGCCGTGCTGTTGGGCAGAGCACAAGAGCCGCCTGAAAAAGAATTCCCCGAGGCTCCGGATCCTCCGAGGGTCCCGACTGTAGCCCCGCCCGGGATGTTGCGTGCCGAGAGGCTGGTGCCGCTGATGTCGCTCAGCAGCGAATTCGAGGCACGAACCCCGGCGCCGGCAGTCCCGGGAGCGTGATAACGTGCGGACGGACCGCGAGTCTCGACCGGCGGGGTAGACCGACCGCTGACGACGCTGCCCACTCCGGCGGCCGAGGAGGCGGTGGAGGATGTTGGACTCACGTTGCCAAGAAAATTGCCCAAAACCACACCCGTTGAGCCGATGAAGCCGGAATTTCGCGAGGCATTTTGGTCCAGAGTGAGATAACCTCTGTCGTTAGCTCTGCCCGAAATCAGATCCTACAATGGACGGTAGAACGGAATGAGAACAAAAGGCTTATATCAAGTACCGAGTGGCAAGTAAAGTTAGGCAACAGCCATCAAAACTGGGTTAGCAACGGTCGGGTGCAGAGCGACAAAGAGAATCGCAATGACTGAAAAGATAAAAAGTTCAGACAAGGTAATGGTGGAAAAAAACGAAAAATGCACTGTTCATTGAAGAGACAACTTAAAGTTAATATAAAAGACAATCAAGCTCAACTCCGTGATATAAGAGTAGCTTGCGATTAGTAAGAGAAATTTGTCCCATGAAAATGTCGTAATATTAAAAATGATACTATTCGAAGCAAATATAACAATCAAAGTCATTTCATTGATTACATCCCATATAAAAAATTTGATAGACATTTTTAAAAAGTACTATTTTTTCTGAGGATTATAAAAAAAGATTTGCCATTGGTAAGGTAAAACAGTACAGTATATAAAACATCAGCTAATTTTTCGTTAATAAGTAGGTTTTTGAGGCTATCAAAAGATCAATTATATGAGGCGATACAGAATTGGTAGTAGAATTTTATCGCAACCATATGAGTAGCGCTGACTTTTTCATCGAGTTTAATATAGCCTAGCTTTCCCAAAAAATGTTTTCATCCAGGATGGACTACAATTTCATCTCATCGACACCCCCAGCCGGGAGTCGAACAACTTATGAACGAAAAATAACTAGCTGTGGATTAAATATATGAAGACCAAGATGTTGAAGCCTCTGGTGTGGTCGCAGTCTCCTTTCGATAGATAGAAGTGGGTTGACCTCGTTGTCGCAACTTGGTCT